ACGCTATCATCACCACTGCCACTAGCGCCGACAGCCTTCTCGTATAGCAGTGTTGCAAACATTTCTAAAATGTCTCAACGCGCAACAAAGTGGGAAAATCAAGACAGAGAACCTAAAAACCAACTGGTTGCCATACCATTCTGTCTGCCACATGAGAGCAAAAGTAGAACAAAAGTTTAATTTTCTGCACGATTGATCTTGACTGTGGAACGCTAGTTTAGCAGTACTTAAGGTTGTCAAGCCTGCTGTAAAAAGTCTATACAATGGTTTTGCCTCTACACATAGACTTTCACGCTTGACTTCTAGTCTGGTAGTGTATTCATTTTGTGCTTTCCATTTATTATTATTTTTAAATCAAATCATCACTCTAAATCCCGGTGTAGACTTTCTTTTGCTCAATGGTTGAGTAAACCAAAGCAAAAAAAACCCCCAAAAGGTTGTAGCAGCATGCTAAGCTTTATCAGACCACCTCAGTCATAATCTATAATCCATGACTGAGCATGGGTTGACCATGTTGGCCTAAAGTGGGCATATTATAAACCATTTTTGTCACAAATATCACAATGTATGTTTTAATTTTTAGCCCAGAAAACCACACATATGTTCAATGTACAATTCATTTACACCCATTGTGTTAGTTCTGTTCCTAACTGTGACTTTTAATGGCATTGAGTATAAGTCTGTGAACTGCTACTGTGAGTGATAGGGAGGAGCAAGGAATGGGACCACATGCAGATGACTGCAAGGAAATAAGTTAATGTGGATAAAAATGTTATTTCTACATTTTTTTGAAAAAAAGTTCACATGTCATTTCCTTGTTCTTAATTTATATGTATATAGAGAGTGTCAAAAAGGACATTGCAGTTCTAAAATATAGATTTTTTTTCCCATTTGTTTCCACAGTTTCTGATTGTCCCAGTATTAAAGTTTTACCTACCACCCTTTTAAAATTCAAGAGGAAAAACCTGTGCACACAGATCTGTTCACGAGACTGGGCTGTTCATACTGGTTTTGTATTCACCATCACCTTCAAACCTTAACACAGTTGATGATCTACAGGGAAAAGAAGAGAAAGGTGGCGAGCCTGTCTTGCACTGGCAGTGACCTATGTATCGTACAGCGGTTGTTTGCAGCCACATTGTTGTTGTCATGGTTTCGTTCACGGTGGTGGAAGACTGGAGTGTGAGAGTGACAGATGGTGTTGCAGCACCTGCAGTGATGTGGATGTTGTAAGGGTCTATTGTGGTGAAGATAAAATTGTCATTTTACTGGTACAGTAACACAAAGATGTGGTGGTGGTAGTGTGATGGTGGGGGGCTGCTTTGCTGCTTCAGAACCTGGGCAACCTGCTTTGATTTGTGGAACCATGAATTATGCTACCTACCAGAAAACTGGTGACCAAGTCTTGAAGAAGCCTAGTCTGATTAAATCTGGATTAAAACCCCTCCAATGTGCCTGATTTAAAACAATTCTGCAAAGAAGAGTGAGACAAATTTACTCCAGTTCTTGTTGGCAGGGACGGCACGACCAGGTAATCAGTTTAGAGGACAATACTTTTTCGCATATGGCAGGTAGGTTTTTCCCCCTTGTGTGACAAAGTGTGACGAATATGCAAGAAGAAAAGAAATCAGGAAGTGGGCAAATAATTTTTTACATTATGGTAGATTTACATTCCTGCCCTCAGGAAAAAAACATTTTCGTATGCAAAAAAGAAAAGAAGAGAGGCAAAAAATATCTAATTTAGTGTATGCATCATTTACAGACCTATACTCAGCTGCTAAAATTGTGTTTTGTCTACAAGTTGAGGTCCTTGTATTTCAGCATCTAGCTAGCGCTAATGAAAAGGAGCGAGCATAAAGCGGGGAACATAGTATGGCAATTTCAATTGCAGTGTTTCTCTCAGCTCAACAGGTTTTAACAAACACAGAAATAATATGTGCAGTTTGTTACACAGTGTGTCTGCTAGCTAAACATGATGTATTTCCCAGGGAGAGAAAACAGTACGAGATAACTCTACTCAGGATTAAGATGTTGGAAAAATGGGGCAGAAGAGGAAAAGAAAGATTATTTTAACAGCTAAGGGCTGCTCCGTGGCATCTGATAAACTGGAAATGTAAAGCTAACATGTGTTATTCAAAGGCTGCATGAAAACACTGGGCAGGTTAGCTTGCCAAGTATGTTTTTTGTTTAACTAGTAAAGCTCAGAGCAGCACAGGCACACAAAGAAAACCTACTAGAGCGCTTAAGAAAAAAATGATCGTTGAGTAGTGAAGAAAACAGAACCACAACTACAAAACAGTTTTACTCCCGTGTACTAATATTACTTTATAATTATGTTAATGTCGCACGTTCAGTTAGCTCTGGACAAAAATATCTGACAAGCTGAAAAAGCTTTCTTTTACTTTTCTTACTTTGAATGCATTTCAGACTTGTATTTTTTCACTTTGAATTGATTAAACTTTAAATGTTAATTAAACTTTTAACATGTTTTTTTTTTTTAAACAAGTGCTCTCATATTAGTAGGGTCCAGTTAAAATGGGCTAAATGTGTACCTACGATGCTTCCTAAAAGCCTCCTGGGTTAGCAGGAGGAAACCTCAGGGTAAACCCAGGATATGTTAGAGAGATTATGTATCTCAGATGGCTTGTAAATACCTCATCATCCTAGTGGAAGAGCTAGACGTGATTGCTGGAGAGAGGAAGGTCTGGGCATCTCCCTTTAAGCTGCTGCCCTGCTGACGTTCGCCCTGACAAGGGGGTAAAAACATATGTGGATAGTGTTTTATGTATGTTAAAAAAAAGCAAACAAAATAATGAAGTGAATTTTATTATACATGTCCCTTTAAAACCTTTACCTAGACCTACTCAGGAAAACTACTCTTCATAAAGCATTCCACCACCTATATTTAACCGTTTTCTATTATTTTCAAGGTCATCTGATTTTTGTGAAGGACAGACTTTTCACAACCATTCCAGGGCTGTCGAAGAACTGATAGTTCCAACAGATAAGTTAAGCATTCAAACATCAAGTACATGGGAGGGATTTAAAGCTGGCAAATGCTATCTTTTGCATTTAATAAGTTCTAATTCCTTTTCTCTTGCTGCATCACAGGTCATCTGTTTTGAAAGCTTAAGTCGTTGTCACCAAGTAAATAAACCTCTGTCAGGTCCATTTTTTAAAGCCTCCTATCATATCTATAATGTTTAGTAAGTTCAGAGACAGTGTTCAGAGAGTTCATTGTGGTGCTTATATGCAAATTTACACCCACCACTGAATATTCCTTTGCCTAATTAATGGATTAAGAGAAGTCATTAGACACAGTGGGTGACTGGTGACAGCACTTTATTGTGACCCCAGATCAAAGAGTGGGTGTGCTTGAAGCTTCAGTTTGGCCAGTTACCCTCATGGGAAAGACCTTCGTCATGGTCACCACTTACATTCAGCTCCCACACAGATAGCATGAATACACAGTAATCTATCCCACACACAGACACACTTGTATCATCTACAGCACTGCTGTAGATGATACAAGGCTCACATACAAACGATGGTTGAAATTTCCATTATTTTTAATTTCTCGTCAGCATTACTTGGAGCTTTTTTTAAATATATAGTTCTTTTAATTTGACATTTTGCTTCTGGCAAGTTAATTACTCTGTGTAAAATCTGATGACCTAACTGGGATTTAAGGAGAGAAACTCCTTTTACCAGTGTGTGTGTCAGCTGTGATCCTTCACAGTAGTTAAAATGTTAAAATCAATATGCAATATGTCCACTCTGTTCGGAGGAAAAATTCCAGAACACCATTTACCTTTTTGAAGTGTTAATGCTCCACTTGCATGGTTGAGTCTTAATGCTTTATGCACGGTGTGAGAAACTGAATTTTCTGTTAATGTACAACATGAAACTAAAGCCTCAAATAATGAAAAATTTTGATAAGATCAATGACGTGACATTTAAAGACAGAAGGACACTGAATGTACAGAAAGGACTAACGCGTCATTCCATGCTCGCTATTTCTTTTTTTAGGGACTGCGAGCTTTCCTCTTTACAGTGGAAATGATTCAAATGACTAAACGAACATCTATCTTTTTCAGGTTGTTGCAGACACAAGAACCACAGTGAACCTTTCTGTCCTTCTTTCTCTTCCTCTCTATCCTTCAGCCTTTCTCACTCTTTTAAGTATATGCTGAATTAATTCCATTTTCCTAAATGCTTATACTGTATTTTTTCCCATAATTGAAGATTTTTTTTTATTTTACAATGGAGTAATTTCTTTTTTGTCTTCCCCTGCATACATCACAGCAGCCCTAAATGACTACTTGTGGGAATTTTGCTTATAATAGATAATTGCACCTTTTCAAGTCATCAAAAACGACACCCTACCAACAACAAGCCCACTGAACAGATTAGTCTGCCAGAGTGAATACTAATACTGATGTACTTTTCCCTCATTCCCTCCCGCTTTCAAAATAAACCTCCCCATCAAAACTGCCCAAATCCCCTCTGTGGAAGTTGATTTGCTAACTCTTGTCTCTCTTACTAACATGGTTCAGAATTCTTCCAATTTGATTACTTTCGTGGGTGAATTTTCTTTTCCCTTACCTTTTATGATTTCAACAACTAACACTGTGTCATTCACGGAATGTAAACCATCTGTTGTTTTCTCTAATTAACTTGCGACTTACATACTAACAAATGTACTGTTATCCTTTTATACCTTTTATTTTTTAATGAATTTTATTTTGAAAATGACCCTTAAAAACGAAATAGTTGCTTACAGTTGCTTTCTTTATTTCTTTATTTGGATGTTCTACTACAGCTATATAAAAAATAATATTTTCTTTTTCACTATTCTTTTTACAATCAAATTGCCTGATTTTATCAAAGGCGATTCGTTTTTTTTTTCTTTCCCACTTTTTTCGGGGCTTAGGTATGTTTTGAGTTTTTTTAAGGTTTGTCATTTTTTTTCTTTCTCCTCCCCCTGTTTTCTCCTGAAGCACGCAGGCATTGGACACGCTATGGTAAACAAACTGCATTATATGGTAGATATCATTCTAATTGTCTTACACTTTGGTTTGCCCTGGGTTTTCCGTTACCTCTTTCTATTCTGTTTGCTTTACTGAAACTACAATCCTCCATCAATTCCAAGGTAGCTGGAAAAACTCCACCTTTCTGTTTTTATTTTAGCCCTCTCTCTGTATTTATATATGTTAACCGCTTTTTATTGCCATCCAGTTTCCCTTTCCTGTTAAGACTTAATGTTTTCATCCAATGAGGTCTGCTCAAAAGAAAAGATATAGGGAATTATATCAGTTTTTATTTTTTTGTTTTTTATTTTTTTGGTTGTTGTTTATTTTCTTTGTCTTTTCATTTGTTCTTCTTTTTAAACACTATCCGTATGAAGAAATAAAGAATCATTACGCAAGATATTTTCTCAATTTAGCATTCTGAAATTTTGATGAGAAACTATATTTTGTTAATCCCTATTCCCTTTTTTAAATTTATTTTGTATTTTTTTAAGAAGAACCCTTGAAGTGAACGTACACAGCAGACTTTTCAAGCAGCCTACTCTGGCCATTCCAGTGAAAGGAAGTAAAAATAAATTTTTCACTTTCTGTTTTTTATATCATTTTTCTCCCAATATTTTAAAAAGTGTGAGAGAAATGCCACTAAACACACTTTTGCTATGGTATTTCAGTTAGACTCGTTTGGCATGTTATTGAGTGCCCTGTAATCTAGGTTTGCCGTCTTATGGTTTATAGAGTCATGAAGATTATTTACAGCTCTTGATTTATCGGTCAAAGCCCTCACTGTAAAGAAGACTTCAAATGAGGGCTTGATCCCATTAGTGGCCTTAGGCTGATTTATGATCAACCTGGGGCTGTTCTCAGTCTTGTACCTGAACAGTCTTCCTCTCTTACACGACGATGTGCGCACGTAATAAAAGGTTTTCATGGACAGTTAGTTCCCTGAACACAGGTGCAGGGGTGATCAGACAGTTTTACACTGAATAACCAGCAAAGTGGGGAAAGTTTGGCAAAATAACTCGTAGACCTTTATATTTAAAAATACGTAAACAAAGACGGACTGACAAAAGCCTTACTGAGATCTTATTTTACTAACTCCTATTAGGCCTTAGTACATAACAGTAATGCTGCCATCAGTGTGTAGCTAGAGCCAGCCTTACTTGCTTTCACTGGACTTGCCCAATCAATGAAGGAAACTGTCTGCCCATCGATGCAGACATAAAGGGAAGTGACTGGGAAAATCTGTGTACGATCGACCCCTCATTAACACTAACACTAACTTATATTTCTTATACTTTACTGCCCTCACCCCTTGCATGAAAAGACTCCTATCCCCTTCGATCTTCTTTTTGTTGTTGTTGTTTTTTGATACAAAGATTGCATTGAGTATATATGTATATGTATATATCACGGCTAACGTATATACATACATATATCAGTTGTCCTACTAAAATCAATATGGCCATAAGACATGTTAGCCACATTCTCCTTATTGTTTTTATTTACTTTATTTTATTATACTTTGTTTTATTTCTTATATAATTTTAACTTCAAAATTAACTTACTAAAATGAATAATGACCTCACACGTTATCTTGCTGAAACAAAAAAAAAGGGAAAAATAACGAGGGGAGACAGATTTTCATTTTCTGGTGAATAAAGAATTGATGCCCCAAGGAATAAATCTGGCCAATCCATCAAATCCCATGAGTTGGAAAAGAAAAGTGTCATGTGCAGAAAGCCACTGTATCTGGTAGTGACTCACTGAGTCTTGGCTCAAATTTGACAAAAGTGATAAAGCAATTTTCAACTCGCATCAGAAAAGCTGTAGTGAAATTGTAGCAGAGGCATAATGAGAACTGCAATCACGAGCAGATGTTTTTGTGTTTTTTCTGTGTCCAATATCATGAAGGACGTGGACAGTGGTGAAAAGCTATTTCCTGCTATCTTTGACCAGAATTTGAACATCTTCTCTCCCCTCTCAGTTTTTCCTATTCTTTAAAAAACCCTCTCATGTACGTGGATTCCATCTGTGATTGTTTACTCCGGTCCCATTTTCTCCAACTTCCACCTCCAAACTGAGTATCCAGTGGCTGTATTCCTGCACCATGTCTGCATGATTCTATTGGCTAGAAGTGTTCACATCAGCATTCTTATAGGGTGTAAATGCTGCTGTATCCCAGCACGTGTCAGTTTGTTGTACACGTGTGTTGATGCATTTTTTTATGTTGCCTTCTTGTCTAAAACCCCGAACACTAAAAGCTCTCTTGCTTTTCCTTTTCCCATTTGTCTGGTGTCGTGATGCCCTGCGATTAAATTCGCCCATTTTGCTGCATTTTGCCAGATGGTTTATTTTATACATTTCTTTTAATAGTTGACCTTTTTGTGTTGTGTCTCAATGAATTCTTCCTCCAAGCCCATCCTTCCGGTCATCTTTTTTATTTAAGTGCATGGCTTGTGTGTCACCCTGTTAGCTTGTATGGATTCATTTTGTTTCTTCTTAATCAAACAAACCCTTGTCACTTGAAACAACACATTCAGTCCAAATGTGGATCTGGTTTGAGCAATCAAATTGCAGAGGACTTTTAAAGAATCCTCACATACTTTTTTCACTATGACTAAATTGTTACTAATCTACTGTTTGGATAAAACCTTTGTTGTAACTGTACTAACAACCATTTTTGTGTCTGACTTCCCCTTACTTACAAAAATACTAACCGATTTTGTTCACCCTCCAACCCTTTTAACTCGTTTCGGCGCATAGTTTAAAACCCCTCTCTCTTGCGCAAATGGCACTCGCCCCAAGCTTCCCAACCCTCCCCCCATGCCTTTACTAACACAGGTTAGTTCGTCACCTCAGGGTTTACATGTCAAAACTCCACATTGAAGTTCAAAAATAGGGCTCTCTCCACTTGCGACCAGTTAGGACTTTTGACTCACTGCCAGACACCTATGGAAACCCATCGCATGGGTGGGAATGCATTCGTTTCTGTGTAATATATTGTTTCAACTACTAAAGATAACACATTGTTCCTTTTTTTAAAAGACCTGTGACAGTAATCAGATGTTGTTCCAACAAGGGTAAGTGACACATTTCTATGTAAATAATGTTCCCCTGCATGGATAAGTGTATTAAAGGAGTGATGGTACTGAAAGGAAAGAAATATCTGACAAATGGGCCTTATGAAGATTGGATGGTCAAAATAATGGCTGTTGTTGAATTTTAGGTAGAACATGAAGCAATCGTGGGCGACTGATACAAAACGAAAATTTATTTTTCTTATATATGGAAACCGTACGACTTCCATGTGTATGTAACCAGTATCGTCTAGGCACGTTCTAATGTTCTTTTTCACTTTCATTTTTATTCTGTGGGTGAGTATTGAATCATTGTTTCTTATTTTCTTTAAATGTAAGTAGTTAATGTGAATTTCTGTGTATGCACATGGCAAAAGATTGGTGACTTGGCCCTATTCAATCACAAACTAATAGCAGACTGATTCCATCTAATTGCCATGTTATGGTCATCTTGATCAAAGTCACTTTGTAGACAGCTGACCGTGGCTGCATTTCTGGTCCCCAGCTTTGAACCATTTCAAAGTCATCCAAGTTGGAAGTTTATTGGACATAGTGGCAATACTTTTGATTGTGCCACAGTTTCCAAATACTGTTTTCCCTATTGTGACTGTAGCATAGAATTAGTTAGAATTATGCTCAAAATGTCCATAGAAGCCACATCTGGTTTGGAATAGACTACATTTAAAGTCCAATTTAAAAAAAATAAAAAACAAAAACTGGTCTGTTGGTAGATGCTGATTTATCAGGAACAAGTAGACATGAGAGAGTGGCTGAAAGCAGAGGTTAATAGCTTAAAAGAATCAAGTTCAGCAGCATGCGAGTGGGTGAAATAGATTGCTTCTTATGATTTGAACCCTAGAGCTGTGCCAATCTCTTCATAGTGTATTCAGCTTTAAACATCTTCATTGTGTCTTTTATACCTGGGGCAATCAGTTCAGCAGAGTTTAGCAAGGTCTTCTTAGTTTTCTGTATGTACAGGGCTAAACAGGTATCTGGCGAGCAGCTGGGTAACACCGAGAATCCAATAAAGGCTGCAGCTGGGGCTTGAGTTAAGTCTGTGTATTATGTGCTGTATGTGCTGCTTGTTGGAGGCACACGAGAAAGGCCGGAAGAATGACGTTCACACAATAAAGAACAGCGAAGAATGCTAGAAATGTGCTAATTAATCTGATGCAGTTTTATATTTGTCATCCTTCCTTCCTAGAATTTTCACATTAAGCTTTGTTTCAAGAAAGAATCTGTGATCACACAATTACACCAAATAATATTCAGGCCATATGCTGTGTGCACCCAGGATGCTATTTTTTCCCCAGGAGAAGAAATAACATTATCCTGCCAACAACAGCATAATTTTGAAATTGATGAGAACGTTGCATATAAAGACAAATTTTAATTGCACTATTGCAATTAAAAGTTGGTCAGTTGAATGCACAAGGAGCTGCTTGTCTAAAAAATAGACTGATCAATCCACAGAGTCTAGTTTACTTTTTTAAGTTGATCAGTACTTATGCTTATAAGTGTTGCACACTTTGTTTAGTCAAAAGTCCAAATTTACATTTTTTCATTCTAATTTGAATTCAAAAACAACTCTCAGAGAGAAAAAGCAACCAGAGACTGTCTCATAGAATGGGAATATTTTACTTGCCGTTTATTCAAAGAAAAGTCTAAATACATTTATAGCACATTAATTAAAATGGGAACGCATGCGGCGTATTTCAACTTGCAACCTCTGATACCATCAAGCCCTTCCTTCCTTCCTTCCTGTGTGGCCAGTGATGCAAGGGCTTGCAATTTTGTCAAAGGAATGAGTGTGTATCCTGGTTGAAACACTAACTCTCATGAATTATAACAAAGTTACCTCAAAGAAAACGTTTGTTTTTTTTCAGACAACCTTTAATGTGCTTATTTTAGTATATCGACACATTGTCTACACGGGGCTTTTAATGCTGTATAAGTTAAACCTCTGATCAAACAATAAATCACTAATATAACAGGATTGCTTCAGACAGTTTATTAAATAAATCAAATGTGTTTAAAGCTTTTAACATATTAAGGAGTACAATCTGGGATGAAAGTGAGGGGAAGAGAAAGAACTTACACATTGCTGGGAACTCTATAGGTGTCTGGCAGCTAGTCACTGATGTTTTCCCACTATCTGAGTAAGTGCGCTGATTCACTGAGATGTGCCATCAACAATCCCAATATTATCCCAAAACTTCCATGGGCCTAGCTTAGCCATAGCCAACATTGGTGTTTTTCAGCACGTTTGCCAACCCCTTTATTTTAAAAGGTTTACGGGATATTTCTCTACCCTATGACATTTCCAATCTACTTTTTTGAAGAAACGGTAATACCATGGCTATATAGTTCAACCACAGTAGTAGGAACATGTTTGACATTGCCTATAGTAACAATTCCCCTCCCACCCATTTCTTCTCTATAGCCAGTAAGGTCTCGCTTGTCACTTTGGGCAAATGAAGTGTTCCTGTTGAAATCCCTATCCAAGATCTCCAAAGATGACCCCAACATACCAGCACTGTGAACTGCAGATTCATCATGCCAGATACATCTGGCCAATGTGATTCATCTTTCTCACCAAGTAGCAACAGCAGACATAAAAATGAGTTGCCCTCTTACAAAGGGAAGTACGGGAAAAAAAAAGAAAAATGTCAAGGAAAACAGAAGATAAGAACTCAGCTGGGGAGATAAAATCTTTGGAGTGCAGTTGCTAAGGTCTCTTTTTGGTTACAGTTGCCACAGCTATAGTTGTGGACCTGTATCTTAAAATAAATTTAGGCATAGTTGATGTTTTCATAGAGGATAACTGATGTTTTTGCTAACTGAATTCACTACTTTTGAATATATTTTAAAGGACATGCTAAAGGAAAGCACCATTTCTAGATCTTACTTGACAATTAACCGACCCTAATGTAAAGCTGGACCTTGATGAAATGATGAAATGTAGTGCTACCGGCACTTTGAAGTATGCAAAGGTAATGAAAGCCAGATGGTTGTGCGTGTGGCTCCCAGCAGTGCTGCATTTGTACGTTTATGCAGAATAACAGATGTTGAATCAGAGACTGGAGTGCTTCGCTTTCGCCCAGGCCAGCTCTTTTAGGATAATTAGACCATAAATTGGTCACTAACTGCAAAAGTCTCTCCCGAATCAAACATCAGGATTTGGCAGGGTGTTTGTATATGATCATCGCTGTCGTACCAATACTAAATCCAGTCGTGATGAAATACAATTAAGTAAATGATAGATTTGAGTATTTTTCATTAACAACTACAATTTGCTTCATTGTAATAAGTATAATGTAAAAATACAAGGGTTTTTGTGATGACTCCTTGAAAACTTGTGGAGGAGAGATGCTTTCACGTTTCAGACTAGTATATATATATATATATATATATATATATATACATATATGATTTCTTCTTTTCATTTACTCTTCAGGTATTATTTGTAAAGATGGGATAAGGTCAGGTGTAACATGAAAAGAGATGTCAAAAAAATGGGAGGCATCATTTCTGCACTTCGGTTCGCACATTATCTCACACCATTAGCTTGCAGCCGTGTGTTTGATTCTGGGTTCCACCTGGTGCTTCTGTCACCAATCAAAATTCAGCAAAGAATGTATGGCCTTGCACAAAATATGAAACTGGAGGCAATTAAATATTAAAAAGGGAAGTCATTTTTACTGGTAGCTCTGTGAATGAAGTGTTACAACGTAGCTATGCCAATCTCAGGGAAAGCCCAGTTGGCATTTTAAACATGGTGCTTGTTTAAAGGTCAAGTTCTTGTACTTATGTAACTTTAAATTCATAGTGTGTGGTTTAGATAGCTGTTTTTAGTGTTCATGACTGAAATGTTAATTCTTGAGGCTGTAGATTATTGCCTTTGCACTGAGTTTGCTAAACCAGGTTAGTTATTCTACCACTGGTAGTGATGAGACATTTGGCACACTGTCGTTCCATTGGTTTACCTTTAGCAACTGCACTCTAAAGTGAAAGCCCTCAGTCTGACCAACACCAAAAAACCACCAACTGAGCGATACAATTTAAGGTACAACCCAATCAAGCGTCTGTGTTTAATCCAATTTCTTCCTTGTTTTTCCTCCCATTTCTCTTAATTTCCCTCCTTTCTTATTATTTTCTTTTTTCTGTCTATTCCTGCTCTATATTTCTATTTCTATCTGTTCCTTTCTGTCTCTTTTGGGACATGCTTTTGCCAGGTGACCATCTCAGTTGATGGTATTTTGACCACCACTGGTTACACCCAGGAAGATTACACTATGTTGGGCTCTGATGACTTCTTCTACATTGGAGGTAGTCCAAACACTGCAGACCTGCCTGGATCTCCAGTCAGCAACAACTTCATGGGCTGCCTGAAAGACGTAAGTGTAAAGTGCTTAATATTTAAACTCTTACGAACAAACCAACTGAAATTTGCATTTTTCTTTGACGAAGTAGGGTACGAGGTTGGTACGAGGTAGGTGAGTTTCCTTGAGGCTGTTTCACCTCTCACCCGAAAAGTTTCTTCAGTTCTAAGAGCAAATGGTGGAGAGTCCCAGATTAGGTAGAGGATCATTATGTGGTCCGTGACCCTCTTGGGGACATTCCCATAAAATCTGTGACTCTCCACCAATTGCTCTTAGAAATGAAGAAGCTTCTCGGATGAGAGGTGAAACGTCTTCAAGGAAAGTCCAGATGCTTTTCTTTCCAAGGTCTTCTTTGGGTGTTGGCTACCTTTTGTTCCACTGTCAAGATTATGTGTGACGTCTTGACAGAATAATGTTGAGTTCTGGTGACTAGGAAGGCCAGTCCATTGTGTAATCATTGCTAAATTTCGACAATGATCAATGGTCAAAGGGCTGTACTCTATGTATCAGGTACTTTCCAGATAGTATTGCTTGGCAAACAGTACTTTGCTGTGAGAGATCTCCCACACCATTGACTGAAATGTATAATGTAAAAATAAACCATGACAGAACCACCATCTGTTTTGCAGATGGCTGCAGAGATCTGTTGTACACTTTTGTACATCCTTCTTCACTTCCGTTGTGCATATTCATAATGATTTGAACCAAAATTTAAAATGACCTGTTGCTAATAATTTTCAGGCCAGTTCATCTGTACTTGAGCATTTTCTCCTTGTCTCCCTTCCTTCAGAACAGGTTGGTCACGCTTTCTGTAGGACCATTTCTGATGAAGCTTTGGACATGACGTTCAGACACTGTTCGTCTGCTATTGATAGTTTTTTAAACTTGCCAGTTCTTCTTTTGTCTTGTATTTCTCCAGTTTGATTAGGTAAAATGACTGGACTGAAAATAGTAGCCAATGTCCAAAGAAAAACTGTGAAAAACCTTCAAAAAGCCTGAAGAACTATTTTTCAAGTCTTACAAAGTCTGGCTCCTCGGAAGCAAAATGTAATGAAATGAGTGGTGGCTCACAAACCACAGTATGGAATTAGAAGCATTTTTTATTGTTTTAGACAAAGCGAGAACAAATGACACAGTTTGCTGCATGGTATCATCACACATATTTACAGAAGCACATTTGTGTTGACTGACACTTTCTCTGGAGAATCATCCGTCTGGGCAGTTATAACTCCCATATGTGAGAGTAGGAGGTGTCAGACATACAGCTTCCTGAATCCCTTTGAAGCCTCTCTCTTTCTAACCACACCGCAGAACACACAGACAGATCACAATTTGTAGCACGTCCACTCATATTTGTGGATGGCTATATAGAGGACAGTTGCCTTTTAAAATTTTTATTTCAACTCAACTTTGATAAAAATTACTTTTATTTTCACCAAGGTCTTAATTCACGGCTGAACAAGCTGTCAAGAGAACCAATCACAGCTCAAAGTGCTATGCCCTTGTAAATGTAATGACTTGTATAGAGGCAACGCAACATGGTGCCATCGCATTCCCTCATAAAACCATGCTGATTGAATAAGTAATTACTTTTGCCATCACTTTTAATGGATCGCACAGTAATCACCCTATCTCTAACTTAATTATCCCTGTAGAATTACACTTTCATTATTTGGGTTGCTATCAGAAGAATCCCTTGCGGGTCTTAAACTTCCCTAGGCATTTAACAGTCCTCTGTCTCATCAAGACAAGGCTGGATTTACAGTCAGTGTACACACAAAGCACAAGAAAGGCAAATTGTCTAAATGTTTAAAAAAGATAGTGGTAAGAGCTAGTAGTAACAAAAGAAATTGATATTAAGGAGCCAGTGTGACCAAACTTTTAGAAATGAAAAGTAAGAGCAGATGTTTTAAGACTTGATCATTTAATTTGTGTAATCTTCTGTTTAAAGCTAAGGGAGAGAAGGTGTGACAGCAACAAAAAAAGTATTTCTGTTTGACTGGACTGCACAATGAAAACAACGTAAGGGGGGTAATTTAATGATAACTAGAAGGTTTTTGACAGAGATGAGATACAAAGAGCTGATGAGATGATTGTACAAAGAAAAGGGAGCAAGTTCCAGACAGGTGGGAAGTGGTGTAGCCATCAGATATTGGTATTCATGTTCACCTTTGTTTTTTAAAGTAATAGCTCCTGTTTGGTTAAGCACAGCAAGAAAATAACTTTCCTTCTTTCGTGAACTCTTTGGATATTTGGATATCTGACTCCACAGTACACTTGCTATGTTTGCATCTGGGGGCTTGTGTTAGTTTTTTATGTATTTACTTTTGGACTTCTTGCCTGTACCCCCAAGCTACATTGAATCTCCAGTGTAAAACTGGAGATAGAATGAAACTTTCCCCAGTGAGAAAAAGAAAAGCAAATCATTTAAGTGTAGTTTGCTCTACTCTTAGAATTATGACTTAAAGTAATACATTTCAGACTCAATAGCTGAACATCTGTTTGGTGACAGGCCAGAAAGATACATGACCCAGACGTGAACTTACCAGAAGCTTAAGCTTAGGCTACGTCCACACGTACACGGGTATTTTTGAAAACAGAGATTTTCCATTTTCGTTTTAAAAAAATAATCCCGTCCACACGTAAATGCAGAAATGAAGGAAAACGCTGCTAGGAACATGCCAAAGCAACAGGTGGCGATATATTCCTAACCGTGTAGAAATGTTGGCCAATCAGAAGTCTAGAAGCCTCGGTGGGAAATGGTAGACAAAGCTGGGGCAAAGAAGCAGAACCGAGTCGTATGTGTGGAGGGACAGTAACTGTGTGTGTATATGTAAGCATTTAAACACTGCAGAGAGTACAATTAACAGTAACAGTATTGTAGAAATTCATTTCACCAAAACAATAACGTGGCGCACAGTGTGACGTCAAAAAAGGCGCACACCTTTGACCCTTCGTTTTCTCTGTTTTTCTCGTCCACACGTAAATGCAAAAACAGAGTTTTCGAAATTACCCACCGTGGCAGGCGTTTTTAGAAATCTCCGTTTTCAGTGACCGAAAACGCCGTTTACGTGTGGACGAAAGGTGCAAACGCATAGAAAAATCTGCGTTTTCAAAAATACCCGGGTACGTGTGGACGTAACCTTAGGTTGTTTTTCTAGCAGCCTTACGGTTTGTAATTTCCAGCTGAGGTCAAGCTTTCAAGACTAAACTGAGCCAGAAAAGTAACCACACCTAGAAAGCTATTGAGAAAAGCTGCAATAAGAGCAGCTGAGAGCACCAGGTAAAGCTGTAGCAGCTAAAGAAAAAGAAAGTGAGTGGTTGGGGGTTAGGCAGTGCTTGTTCTGTGGCACATCTCGGATTATCAGTTGTGTTATGGTCCAGGGCAAGGCTTTCATGCTGCCACCGTGGTCAAATGCCTTTGATACGCTCGGCCAGCACCCTCCAGGCAGTAGAAATCCAAAGGAACAGCGCAGCAGAAGAAGAGTAAAAAGGCATCAAAAGAGACACTGAAGCCCTGTGAAGTTTTTATTTGCTCCCTGTGTATGTGCGCCTCCATGTGTTCAAAGTCACCCACATGCTATGATCATACACAGGGTGATGTGTGTTTCCTTAGGCTCCTAATCAGAGAGGTGGGGTGTGAAATCAGGTCTCTCTGCTCCTCAGCCCCCAAGTCTTGTTTCCACAGATTCCTCTCTTCTCTTCTGTATATGTCACCATCTGTCTCCCCACTGCAACCTCCACCACCCTGTGTCTCTCGCAGACAGTGACCTTGCTATCGCTCGTTTCACACCACCCTCTCCTCATGTGCTCATCTTTGTCACTCTTCCTGCCTCTCTCATAGTTTCTCTCCATCTCTTTCTTTCTGCCTCCCATCTTCCCTTTCTCAGGGGCAGCTTTGTGTAATTAAGTGTAGCACGGTAGCTCCGTTGGTACACCAATGGCTTTGCCATCCTGATGGCCAAATTAAAAATTGATTTCTTCGACTGATTCCATGTGCTGGATGAATGCGCTTACTCTCCTCCTTGCCCTCTCTTTCTTTTACGCTCGCTCTTCCTGTCCTCCCAACTTCATATTGATGCTTCATGTCTTCACCTGTAGCTTCCTCTTAGCTTCACCTTTGTTCCACAAAAGAATCTTTTAAAGTCACCCGTCACCCTAACTCATGTCCTGCCTGCCACAAGTCAATATTCACTGGCACTTTTCAGTTGATAGAGTACTGCTGCCTTTTTTTTTTGTTTCTTTATTTAGGCAGAAGCCATTAGTGTAACATCTGGTACTTCAGAATGCTTCATAAACTAATAAACAGTGAAAGAGACGAAAGTTTATAAATACATAAAGTCTTTAAGGTACCATTTAATTGATATCGGTACAGAAGTGATTAGTGGATGGTGTATCAACCAACATATTCAAACCGTGCGGTGTATAGTTTCATCAAATATCCACAACACCAAGTATCTGAAGAAAGTAACAAATATTTGTTCTCCAGACCTGCAGGGTTTTGAATTTGAAGAGTTTCTCAATAACAAAACAAATCAATGGAGGGACCCCTGTGGGAGGCTTTGGCCCTGCATTAGCTGCACTGCTAGAATAAGAAACAACAAATCACTGCCACACAAGTCAGTGAATTTTAAAGTCTGACGTGATGATCAAAAATAAAGGGGAACAGTTTTAATTTGTGTAAGAACAATGCATTTTTTTTAAACTTTTGATAGCAGTGAGTTTTCAGTAAGTAGTGAGCGAAAGACAGATGGTAGGAATAAGGATGCAACGTGAGCACAAGCAGTTGTAAAGACACCTGACCCTGTCTGACTGCAGACTCTATAAGGCAGGGGTGTCAAACTCAATAGCACAGGGGGCCAAACCTCAAAGCACACTTTAGGTCACGGGCCAAACAAGATAAACATTTATTGAACACACTAAAACAATGTTTTTTAAACATAAATGTGAATACGGACAGGAATATAATTCCAGAATAAATAAACTTAAAAATATAAACTTAAACTTTAAATATT